CAGCTTATTTTTCACTGTAGCACCTTTGGGCTTATGCCTGAGCAATGGCACATACAAATTACGGCCAGGGTTAATTGGCAGAGCAAAAACTCAAGGACTCTGGCAAAGGCAATCTTAATTTGGCAAAGGAGGGGGATAATCTCTAGCCTCATATAACTTGACACAGAGTTAGGGGGTGAGGAATTCTCCTCAGTTCCATCGAAGAGGGGATTGCAGGGTGACCTCCGGCTCCTGCTGACTCCGCTGGTGGGCTGGCCTGTGGAGCAGCTTCCGACAGGAAGGCATTTGTGGTCTGCAATGTGAGCACTACCCGCAGAGCTGGGGCAGTGGCAAGAGGAAGCTCACTGTGACTCTGTGAAGCATCATTGGAATCCTTTAAGCTTCAGAACATCCCCACAGGGAGAGAGCTGACTGCCGAGGGGAGGAAAATGGCCAGGTTAAAAACAGCACATCTGTGTGCATAAGGGAACGCTCAGAAATGGAAGACTGTGTGGGGTTGGGGATGGAGGATGGAAGAGCAACCCAGAACGCTGGGACCAGAAGCATTTGAGGGAGACTACTGATTATGACTGTGAGAGTGACATCACTTGTCACCTCTAACTGAATGGCTGGAAAAATTCGTAATAGCTTCTTAGAGATGAGACAACACAGGTTGAGCAAAATGAGGTTTTACATAACTAGTGAGTGAAAGCTGACTCTTCCCTTCCTGTTTTTCCCCCCTACATTATTTTCTGGAACTCTTATTTTCTCCCTTGCCTTTACAAAGGAACAAATACCCTTACGTTGCTCTGCCTGTGGCCAGAGGATCTGACTTCAGCCTCAATAATGCATCCATTTCCAAGCCTCTGACTCTACATCAAACTAAACCATCCACCAAGACAAGTTCTTTTTCTGCGATAATAGGGAGAGGCAATGAATAAGTTATTTGGGTAGTCTGTATGTGAAGTACTAGAAAACCAGAACAGCAGCTCGTGAGGTGGTGTATGATGTCAGCAGGTTCTACTGGTGAAACTGTTATTTACCAGGCAGGTCACCAAAGTCCTGGTATCTATTGAATGAGGATGCTAGATTCATTAGATCTCTATGATATCTGCAAATCCTAACAATTCTGTCCCTCATATTCTTTTTTTTTAATCCTCACCTGAGGATATTTTTCCATTGATTTTCAGAGAAAATGGAAGGTAAGGGGGTGGGGGAGAGAAACATTGATATGAGAGAAATACATCAATTGGTTGTCTCCCCAGCATGCCCCGAATCAGGACAAGGTTCTAGCCTGCAATTGAGGTGTATGCCCTTGACTGGGAATTGAACCTGCGACCCTTCAGTTCACAGGCCAAGCTCTAACCACTGAGCCCCGGCTAGGGCTGTTCCTCATATACTGATTAAACCTTGAGACTTTGTAAGACAGCCTTGTATGTTTGTTGCTATTCTTGGGAATTTCAGGGCTGTGGGATGCAGCAGTGGAACGTAGCCATCTTTCTCAAGAGAGGGGAGCTCCCTGCATTTAGCCACCTTTAAGCTCACAGACCTAAACCCCCTCTGTTGACTTGTAAGCCTATAAGGAACACCTTATGTTATGGGTAACATTTTCATCTCTTGGAAGTTATTTCAAATCACAACTCCCCCCAGAAAGCAGCCTCCTGTTCCCTGGATTGGATTCCACTGTGTTTCCACTTTGCTTCTAGCACACCGACAACATACTTAGCCTTTTCACCTTCACTGCAAAGAGGGAGTTGTCAATTTAAAGTAGATGACACAAAGGTCAGGCATTTTTCTGATGGTATTTTATGCTTAATAGTCAGAAAATAAGGTCCTGCATACAGTTTTCTTGAAATTAATTTTCTCTCTTGGTTGAGCTCCTGTACATTTAGAAATCGGATAAAAGTGAACAGTAAAAAGTCTAAATTTTTTCAGCTACTTATATCCCTTTCCCAAACTTCCTAATGGTAACGGATTAGGCTCGATCCCCAGTGTGGGGTTGGCAGGAGGCAGCCAATCAATGATTCTCTCTTACCATTGATGTTTCTATTTTTCTCTCCCTCTCCCTTCTTCACTAAAATAAAAACAAAACAGAGAGAGAGAGAGAGAGAGAGAGAGAGAGAGAGAGAGAGAGAGAAAACCTATTTCATCCCACAATTAATTTGACAAAATTTGGGATGCCTATGACTATTGACATATGGCTTCTCATATATAATGAAGTATATCAGAATAACCAAAAAATCCTATATATCTTTGAAGTAATGTTTTTCTATTCCTGAACAATAGTGGTTTTCATGTTTACATTTGCTTCCAATCTGACACTTATAATGGATCAGACTTAAACTAATTATTAACTAAATTTACTATATGCAACCTAGCCATTAGGGAAATGTAAAGGTCAATAAAAACACATATTTCTTTTTTATTGAGGTCTTACTTATAATAAAAGAATAAAAACAAATATATCCACAAATGATCATTTGGAAATGATGCTGTGAGGGAGTACTATTCAACTGTAAAAAGGATGAGGACTATCTCTTTCTAAGTGCAGGTAGGGAAAGATGTCCAATACATTTTATATGGACATCTAATAAACAGGGACATCATCTAATAATGAGGGGCACCATCTAATAAACAGGAAACTGTGAATATATGTGCATATGCACGAGAGTCCTTTGCCTAAGCTCCTTGAGTCTCAGGTTTTGCTTCTGTGTAACAGCAATAATGATAATTGCCCCAGATGATTGTTATGAGGATTAAGGAAAATAAAATTAGATACATGAAAGATCTTGGTGCTGAATCACTAATGTTCCCTAATCTATGCTAGGAGATCTATTAGGGAAACTTGAGAACTTAGAAATAAGAGAAGCCTTATTAAAGAGTTCATCAGCAGAAAGTTTGAGTGAAAATGGGTTGGGCAAAAGCAGCAATTTATTCATGTTTTACAAACATAGTCTTACAAACATCATACATTGCTGGCACGAAAGAACAGACACCATCTCATACACCATGCTTCCTTCCAAATCACTTCTATTGAGTTACATCAGAACAAGTCAGTTACTGAGTTACACAGTTCTTCAAACGTGAACACCTCCCTATTAGGGTGGTGAGATTGGCTAATCAGACAAACAATTAATTTACATGTTTAATACAGTACAGGATTTGTAACAGAAGTCAAGATATTCACATTAATATTGTAATACATTATAAAACAGGACAACTTTCAGAAGATGATGGGATCATGTATGTCCCTGCCTGTTTCAATTGCTTTTTTTGTTTTTCTTCTGTCTTTACTTAAAAGCAGTTGCAAATTATTTTACTCAACTTTTCACACTCAAAAACACTTTAAGTTTTAATAACTAAAAACTATTTACAAATTATTCATTGCAATTTAAAAAAGTATTTGTTGTTGGTTTTGTTGTTTTACTTTAAAATAAAAATAACACCCTCCTTCAACAATCATACTTTATGTGGTACCGCCACTAACTTCTGGTGGCTGTGAAAGATCTTAGGGTTGACTCCTGACAACTTTCCAAAGCTCTAAAATATATTATATTCCATGGCCCGTGTGCCAAATCTACATATGTTAAAAGGCCATTGACTTCCCCAAACCACACACTGACTACAATTCATTTCATGTTGCTTTCAGGGAAATGTTAAGTGGACCAAGATGTTGTGAGGTGACTTCGTGGAGAAATGGAGACAATGATGGGGGGATGGTCTTTTCAATCCCAAAGTCATCTTAAAGCACAAAAAAAGAGGTCAGTTTCCATTTTTGTACATGTAAAACGTTTTCTTTACATTAGGCATAGTCATAAAAAGCATGTAGAAGTTGTTTTGAAAATGCATTATCATAGAATTTACAAACACGGAGATATCAAACACATTCTCAAAAACTGCTAAAGCACTGACACAAAACCTGACTCAAAATGTAAAATTCTCAGTAGACTTTATTTTCTAACTTGCATATTTAATAATTCAACCTTACCCGAGTGAGTTTCGCCCATACTTCTCTAAAAACTCATGTATAGTGACACTACCTCAAGTTCATTCTTTCCAAATAGTCAGAGGGCCGTGCTGTACTCTTGGTTTTTAATGAATTTCAGGGCCCTGGCACTGGAAAACGGTATAAGACACAATTCTGACTATAAACTGTTCCACAGAAAACAGCTCAAGGCAAATTAGCCTAGAAAAGATAGTGAAACATACTTTATTGTGCTAATTTGACAGCCTAAATATATTTTGTGTGAACATATGTAAATTATATTAGGCTTGCTGCATACTGCTTTTTAATCATATCAGTTTGTTAGTTTAAGTAATGCTTTCTGTCTGGCAATGGTTATAACTTCAGTCTTTTGTTTGCTTGTTTGTTTGTTTTCAAATAGTAGCTTAGTCCTTTTTGCAGAACAACTCAATGAAGACTTGGTTAGCCATGTCCTCTCTGTGTTCAAGGGCACACCTCAAATGTACACTGGCATACTATACATAGTTCCTATAAGAAAACTGCATTTCTAACTGGATTCTACCTGAAGTTCATTTCTTTACCCACTAGCTAATTCAACAACTTCACAAGGTAAACAGGGCTTTCTTAGACCACACCGACACTTGTGACAGGCAGTGAATAATTCAAGGCCATGATGGTCCTTATGTGAGATTATATTTTACAACATTTGACTCACATATAACCTTAGGGAAAGAGAAAAATCATATTTCAGCCACAGTGTTCTCAACTCAGCCCTTTGATAAAATGATTACTCAGTTTGCTCACTGTCCTTTTGAAACAAACCTAAGTTACTCCTCTTAGGATAAAATCGCATCAAATAATTACAAAACAAAGAGCAATGACTATATACTTTTATATGCAGGACACCATTTGCACATGAGACAATTAATAAAAACAAACTAGAGAATACTTCTTTAATATCTTTGGATCTAAAGAAAAATTGATTTCCCCACCTGAAAAAAGTATGAATTTTCATAAGTGAAGACACATTTTTCATTTCTAAATCTTAACAATCTCATTGACTCCCAGTGACATGCTCCAATGATATCATGACCTCCTAGAGCCCACCATAACCTGGGACTGTACTGCTGTATTCATCAAATGCTTGACTACTCTTATTTATATCCCTGGTGACCTGCAGAGGGGATTAAACAAGCTTATGAAAATTTATCCAATGTCTCTAGGAAAGGGGAAATTTATCATGATAATTTACAGTTATTTCCTGGTTTGCTAATTCAATTCATTTCTAACAACAACAACAAAAAAGGGAGCTTGCTGTCACAAGCTTGCAATTATATATCAGAAAGAAAGAAAATCATCCCTTGCCTAGTAAAAATCGTTAAGTCCCAACGCACGGCCAGGATGCTAACCATCACAGAGCATGTGCCACTTGGCGATCTGTCTCCTTGGATAGTCACAGATCTCCTTCCAGTGCTCTCCACCGGTTCCTTCCGCAGCCGCTTCCAGGACCAGCCTCCCGATCACCTCGTTGCGGGACCCCCTTTCGGAATCCAAAACCAGAAATTCAACACTGATCTCTTCAAGACCCTCACAAGGAATATCAAAGACAAACAGTTCGTTGAACACAGCATTGGGGGTGCACTTCTTCACATGAGTCTTCTTTTTGGAGATTCTCTTTTTGGCATGGTACAGGTTCACTTTGACGTAGGGGTCTGCAATGGGAAACAAGAGACATTACAGGGACAGGATCAATCTGAGGAGCTGGCCTCAACACAGCCGTGCCCTCGGAGATGACTGCATGCCAACAAAGTGTGATTACAGCGAAAATGGGGCAGAACGGGGCAAAGAGATGCATATATCTGGCTTTGAACATAACTAAGAATGTGCAACGTAAGAGAAAGCATTTCTAAACCAGAGGATGAGGAGGAACTGTATTGTCAGGATGAAGAGATAACATAAAGGGGAAGAAAAGAGAATGTTCTGATGACACATTCTGAATAGTAATAGCTCATTACAGAGAATGGGATAGAAAGGAAAAAAAACCATAAATGAACATCTAACCTTACTGAGTTGTATGACTTTGGATAAGTCTCTCTACTTTGTTGAGCTTTGGGTTGCTTTGTCTGTTGAACAGGCACTTAGAATTCACGGTGACAATGCCTTTTTAGGCTTTAATTTTTATTCTTAATCGTGGACATGGTCAATAGTGTGGTGATTGCTGGGGTGGAGGGTGGTGGAAGTGGAAGAGGGGGAAAATAAATAAATAAGTAAGTAAATAAATAAATAAATAAATAAATAAATAAATAAATAAATGAAACAAATGAAAGGGTTAGGGTTTGAACTCAGATCATTTTAACCCATAGGTCATATGTTCTTTCTCATCATGCCATATAACAAGGTTGTTTTCTTAAATTAGTCACAAAATGAAAAAGCTAATTCTTAAAGTAGATACATAAGAAATTAAAAGAAAACATAATAAAATAATAGAAGTGTAATGGTAGGCAGGCTCATTTAAGATACTAAAATTAAGAACTTTTCTCCCAAATCTTTATTTTACATCCATGTATTTTTGACCATGGCCTCTCATCTCTGCATTTATCACTGCTTTCTGCTCCATTCAGACACCTACCTACACTATACAATCTTTGGCTTAGATCTTAAGACTATGTAGTTTTCTTCTTGCTAATGGCATTTGCTCACATTATTATTCTATAAAATGATAAACAGAAAAGCTATCATGTCTTTTTTGATTATAAATAAAAAGGTAAATCAAAATCATGATTATGTTCATTAACTATTTTGCCCAATGTATTACTCATACACTGAGCCTGAGTCTTTCAGAAGAATTCTTACCTGAAAGTCCAGACACATCGGATTTAGGCAAGTGTCGAGCTTTTAGAACAACCACAGTGAGAGTGTTGGTGGTGGACTGATAGCAGAGTGAGATCAGCAATTCACCCCGTCCTGAAGACTTCTAAACAAAGAGAGATGTGGTATAAGCATGTTTATTATTTTTTAGTTTTGAAATGTGTACATTTTACATCAATATGATAGCCTTGTTATTTAAGTGTAACTTTTCTACTTATTTTTATTTTAGTATGCTAAGGAATCCAATAGTAACAAGCTTTTGTGCCATATCATCACCTCTTGAAAACAACTGCCTGCCATCTTCTGGTCTCTTTAGGTACTACAGGATGTTAAAATGGTCATTGAGTTAGCCACACCCATTATTAAAAATGTTTAAAAGAATATGTAGAGCACAGCTTACACAGAGGTATCTTTTACTTTTGCTTCTTAAATGAAATATATACTTTTTGAAGTTATTAATAGTAATGTATTATCTTATCATTTGAACCAATCTGTATAGGGCAAAATGACTCATGTTAAATTTGACTTTAAATTCTTTAGCATTGAAATTATTGGAATTTGAATTCAGCCCAAATGAGTATATTCTGACCTCCATCACTCTCTTGGTCCAGAGGGATGATGGAGTTAACATTCTCTGCCACCATCCCCTCCTTATTTAATCTAAGGAGTGAATTAAATATTGGAGAGATTTGACTCAATTTTTAATGCTTTGTGTTTGGACAGTACCACAGGTTCACTCTTTGTGTAATACTTAGGTTTGATCTGTACTTTAAAGACATTACATAAGACTACCAAGAACTCAAGAGTCCCAGTTTTAGCTGAAAGTAACAAAATGTAAACTTGGGGCTTGATTATAACTAAGAATGATGGCTGGGCCAGAGCTCCTAAAACTTCAATATATATATATTTATCCAAAAGCTGGCATGGGGTAGCTGTGTGAATACACACTTCAAGAAGAATAAGAGGCAGGCACAGATCTACTGTGCCACTAAACAGCTGGTGTCTCAAGCTACTTAATGTTTCTGGACTTTGACTTTCATTAAGTTCAACAAAGAGACAAAGGCAAGGATATGGTCAAAATGAGCTTTAAGGTATTTTGTGAAATTATGCCTTAGAGACACAGGTAATTCTAAAATACCACAATTGGAATGAGTTTTGTATTCTGTATATAATGTGGAAATAGGATTAAATTTGATTAACTAATGTCTTATCATTTTCTGATAATCCCAGAATCAAAGTAGTACAACTCTGCAGGCAGAGTAGCTCACTTTCTGTCATACAACATAAAGATGAACATTTATAATTCAATATGATGTGATGTCTCCTCCTTGAAAAGCAATCCTATGAAAAGTCAATACAGCTTCCAAATCCTCAGGAGAAATTGATTTAATTTTAAATTTAAATTTCAGATTCAATTATGCTGACCTTGAAACATCTTGGTTACCTTGAGCATGAATAAGAAATATTTTCCTGCATTTTAGTTGAAGTGGCATCTTAGTCAAATTTCTTGTGATAGAAATTATGAAAAATATTTATATAAGTGATATTTAAATATCCATAAAGGATGCCTATGTGTTTTATATCATCAAAATGCCTTAAGCATTTCAGTTATGAGTTACATTTTCCCTCATCTACTCTATTCCCCTGATCCCCATTTGATTATGATTAATAATAATTAAACATGGTAAAGCTGATATGTACAAAATTTTATTATCTTAATAAAAATCCCTAGATACAAAAACACCTACATAAGAGATTGTTTATAAATACTTTAAGAACTAAAAAAATGAATTACCCTAACATTTCTCTTGATAATCTCTCTGTTCATTAATATTTTTCCATCAGACAATTCAATTCCTGCCAGAGGAATAAGGACCTCTCCAATGATATCATCTCTTGAAAACCTGTCAAAACTCAGAATTGTGAAGTGCAAGGCCAACTCTTGGATCTGGGTGTAGGGGATCCCATAGAAGGTGAAGGTCTCATCAAAAGCTGGGTCCAAGGTCTTCCTGAGAACTCTGGTTTTCACTTTATGCTTCTTCTCTGGAAGGATGGTCATTTTGATGTATGGGTCAGAGGTCATCGACTGCTCGTCCATGGCTGGCAAGCCACGTGCTTCCTTGATATTGACCACAAATGTTTTCTTCTCAAAGTTGTACTCTAAGGAGAAGAAGAGGGTTCCCAGCTTCTCTTGTTTCTCTTCTGAGCTAAGGGAAGTGCTGGACTTTAAGCTATCGGGGGAAACCCCCTCTTTTTCCCCTTCTGAAAGGAGCTTTGGGGTCACGTTCTCCAAATCAGGAGGGCTGCCACCTTTGAGGTTTGTTTTGGGAAAGTTGCCATTGAGATCTCTCTTCTCCAGGTCAAGATGCAATGAATTCTTTGGCACAGCCAGTTTATTCTTTACTTCGTTTTTGTCGTCAGCTCCAAACTTCTTTTTGCTACTTAGGTTTTCAGGGTAAATATCAACCCCCTTTAGCACATGCACAAACTTATACGGAGGAGTCTTGTTAGACTTGGATGATTTTCTCTGACAGCAGATCCATGCAAACAAAGAGACTGTGAAGACCAGGCCAAATGCGCTGAAGATACCCACCACTGTGGGGATTTCATCTGAAAAATCAAATGACCAATAACATACATTAAAGGGGCAGAGCTGGAGACACGAGCCTACATGAAAGCATCCTAGAGCTGGCAATTGCTCTAAGTAGCACAGATTGAATTACTTTCCAAGTGTTCTGTGTATGAATGATGAACACATTCCACATCACCTCCAGGAATAAACACATCCTTTGTGTGACACAGAAAAACAAACAAACACGGTATGACAGAAACTTCTTCATTTCAGTAGTTTTCATAAATGAAATAAAAAGGTGAGACAGGGCCTGGTACAGATGTTGGGGAATGCCAAATGACCCTGACCTAGCTTTGTTTTTACAGATAAGATGAGTCATACAGCATGATGGGTCAGTACTAATTGTATCAGGTTCTCATTGACATTTTGAGGCTTTCTAGAACCATCAATTCTTACTGACTATAGAACTTTAAATGCACATTCTTCAGATACTGGGAGAATCTGAATTCTTAGTAGTTCTTTATTTACCCAGGATCCAAACATTTAGAAACTCAGTGATTCAGGTAATTTTAAGGAATGATGAAACATTACCTGCCATTGTCACAGACTCACTAATAATGTCCATCCAAATTATGGGACAGTGGTAAAACAAATGCACATATATTAGGGGGAAATAATTTAAAAGATGAACAACAGACTATTAATATTACATAACTTATAACACTACAAACTCCTTGTATATCAAACCCAAAGTCCCCAAACACTGAATTATCTGAAGTACAAATTAATCACACCTAAATAAGGTAAAAATCAAATGGTTCTAAATGAAACATAATTCCTTAAAGTATAATGAGAAGAGTGAATATAGATAATTTAGAGTTCAATTTTATCCATAACCGGTTTTTCCTAGCATATTTCCACATGGCAAATGGTAATCAAATTGAAATTGGCATTCTTTCCTTGAATGCAGGCACATTAAATTACACTGACATTAGTAACATTGATTATGCATGAAGCTTATCATGTTCCATACGTAAGCATATTTCTTCCACAAATAATTAGTAACACTAAAATAGTGATAAATTAGTATTGCTATATCTGGACAAAATGCTCCAATTAGTCAATGTTTAATATAGCAAAAGTGAATATAACTGATGTACTACTATGCACATTTATTTCCACTCCAATCTATTTCTTTTTCTTCCCAAACACTGAAGAATAAAGTTAAAAGTCCCAGTCAGGAAAGGGTTAAGTCTTGTTTAAATAACCCCTGAAAGAATAATCTTTTGTTAGTCCCCTTCCCCATTCCCTCACATCTTCTGCCTATCTACTTTATAATCACAAAACTAAGCTCAAAGAATATACATTAAGCACTAAAACATTAAGAAATGACAAATAAGAACAGAAGTATCTAGGAAGATAAAAAAGCAAACAAAACAACAATAAAATAGTCTGTAGTTCAATTATATCAAGAAACTAAATTACATAGAGATGAAAAATAAACCTTTCAATTCCCCAAATAGAAAAAGCAGCAAATGCTACAGTAAAAGAATGACGCGAGAGATAATCAGCTAAACTTAGTACGTATCAGCTTTTCAGTTCTTCTATTCAAGTCTTTGTGGGAAATATATATATATATAATCTCCACTCCTGGACTCTCTAAAAAGATAAGGCCAGGGAGCAAAAGCAAAGTCATGAACTAAAGCAAGAAGAACAATAAAAGCCATAGAAAATGATTTTTTAATAGACTGATGCCTCAGTCTTAGAAAATTTCTCACTTCCATATCAAAAATTGGGAATAAACATCACAACAATATAAACTCAATCACCCAAAGGTAAGGCTGTGAAAGAAACTCATTTCTGAATTAGTATCAGAAATTCTCTCTATTCAATCCTTATGTCAAATGGCAGAATATTCAGTAGAACATGGGAAGACTCACTTACTCCCTGTGTATTTTCTACTGATAAGGTCGTAAGCTTTTGATTGCAAAAATCTCAGTCATTTCACTCAGTTTAATAACCATTACCATGTATTTTTAGATATCATTCCCTACTCACAAACTTTTATACAATTTCTTGTGCTTTTGAATACTTGTAAAGTCAGTAAAACTCTGATCTCTTGTCTTTGGAATGTAATGGGACCTAAAGATAGGTTTTATTTATTTATTTATTTTAATTTAAAGAACCACATCTCATTTTATTTATTAAAAGAGAAGAGAGCAATGGTGCCAAAAGTTGGCATAGGAAAAGGAAAATTGAACTGGAAAAATGGAATACTAATTCTAGTTTCCAGTACCTTTGAGCTAACTGACCTGCAGCACACCCCTCATCCCTCTGAGCTGCCATTAGCTCACCTGTGAAAGGAACTGGGCTCAGCTACTTCGTGTCAAATATCCTTTTACCTCTATCTAGCATCATAGGATTCTGTCTCTTTCACTAGCAATGTATTTCAAGAATACAAGAAAAACATATCAAGGAAAACATCCTCATGGTGCACTCTGTAATAAAATATACACCCTCAAACCCCCAATATATAAAGTTGTGTTACGTATGCCAAGATCAAACCCTTATGTAATCATAGGACATTTGGCTTCCCCTACATTTACCCATAAATAAAAATCACCTATAGAATTCAGGAAACCAACAAGCAAACAGACTCCCTTTTCCTTCCCCCTAGCGCGTGCTGCAATTTCCAGAGCTCCTTGGACGTTTCAGGAACTTCCTGGATGTTAAATAGCCCCAGCAGAAGGCAATTTTAAAGAGCAAGATACTGAGGAAAGGAGAAAACAACCGAGATAAGCCAGGATCACCCGTTTATTGTTCTTTTCCTTTCAGATGAACTACCAAGTAAATATATATGCAACATCCCGCTGGGGTTGCGGGGAACAAAAAACATAGCCCACCCAGAGTATTCAAAGAACCACCGCAGTTATAAGTTGACTAACTTGCTTACCAAATTCTTCCCTGCTGGTAGCGATCGGAGCCATTTTTTGCTGCGTGCTCTGTCCGAGGTGCTGAACGGGAAACTCTCTAGCTCGGTTCGCTTGCCTGACTTGAGGCGCAGGCTCTGCCTAATGCTGAAAACAACAGAGCGGCGCCCGGGGACCTACGGCTGGAACGGGGAGGAGGCAGAGAGGGAGGTCCACTCGCCCTCGCTCAGTGATTTGCCGCCCCTGTTCCTGTTTAGGTTCTTCTGAGAAGCTGGTCTCTGAGACTCCAGATGTGGCTGAAACACGAATTGACGCAATCCTGACGCTACAGGGTTGAAATCAGCACCTGCCCCCGCCCCCCCCCCTCCTCCCTCCACGCCTCTCCTCTCTCATTTTTTTTCTTTCTTCCTCTCTTCTCTCCTGAGCATTCAACACGCACTCATCGATTATTTTAACAGTTGGACGACTGGATATTAGCTTTGCTGTTCTGTGGGGGTGACTCAGAGGCACATGGAGATGAGCTCTGAAACTCATCCCTATCAGCTCCTAATATAAAATCTTTGCATCATCGAGACCCCTAAAACTGTGTCTGAGTTTTAAAAATAATGTGATTTACAAAGGCATTTAAAGGGAAGACTAAGATAAATGTCTGCATCAAATGACCCGTGGTAAAATGCAAGAATATATTTTCTTGTTTTCTGAATTTTTCTTTGGTATTCCTATGTTAGAAAACAACTCATTGCACATTGATCTATTTGAAATAAGATAACAGTTTGTCCATTATAATCACTCATTTTCTAATAAATTATTAGTCTAAACATTTTACTGATGCTGTTGCTTTAGCTGTCAGCTCTCTTCCCTGTAACATCTGACATTTGACCAGAGTACGTAAGAGCAGATGGGTATTACCCCTTCTGTATTCAGACTCACTCTCAGTTTTGACTTTTGCATATAACAAGACTGCTTCTGAAATGACATTTCTGGTTAAAAAACCTTGGCTTCTAATAGGGTTGTGCAAAAACAGTTACAAGATCAGACCAAAATCTAAGATGACATTAATAACTATGGGTTATTTTGAAAGAAAAACCTTTTTTTTTTTCTGCACTGATGATCTTCCTGGGGTTGAGGAACTGGGGAAAATATGGTGTCAGATTCTGATTAATTTTAATCTGGAGACTGTGTTTTTGTTTTTTAACAAATGTTTAGCAATTTTCCAAAGGAGATAACTACGGCTGTTACACCATCTACCAATTATTGCTCCGCAAAGAATTCTTTTGCTGTGGAGCTCAGTGAGCAAATGAGATTCAGCTTGTGCTGGGATGGGGGAGGAGAGCACTGGGTGAGTATCTGAAAGCTACTGCACAAGTGAGAGGTTCCTGCACATTGGTGAGCTGCCACTCTGAGCGTCAGGACTGTATCTGGGGAGAAACTGGCTGCAGCCTTTTGCATCATGGAAAATTTTATAAACCAGGGTTTTCTTTCCCTTCTATGGCTCCCACATACTTGGCATTTTAACATTTCTCTAACAGATTTTTTTGAGCTTTGTATCTTCATGCTATGAAAACACACATACTAATTAACTGTATTTAATTTTCCATTGGCAGAATCTGTGATTTGTGGCCTTATCTTTCACTTCATTCAAATTGCTTGTTCCTCAGTTAAGCATGCACCTGGTGGGATGGTCGGTAGGAATAAACACCCACGAGATGAAAGAGAGGGACATTTGTTTGTGGTGCATATCACAGGTAGACGGTAGACGAAATACACAGTGTGAGGTTTACTAATGTATGTGATTTCTAGCCAAGTTATTGCTAACATATGGTTAAACTCATTTCTTGTAAACACAAATACCTCATGTGTATGTTCCATATAAATTAGTATCTCATTAATTTTACCTTCAAGTGGTAAAATGCTGCCATGTAAAACATGTCTAGATTGCTTAAACTCTGTTTTCACAAAACCCTGCCCCACCCTGGGCTGTCTAATTTCTTAGGACACCTGGTGATAAGATTACCTGTTGCCCAGAGCGAATGCTATTGGGGATGTGCTGTTTCATTGCTTGCTTTAAAAGCAAACTGAACATAAACGTTATTAATTAAAATGCCAGAGGTTTTCCTCATTTTCCTTTGGCAAATAGCGTATTATTCAATATCTATTCTCTTTAGAAGAGCTTCTAGCAGCACCAGCTGAGGAGTGGGAAGCTGATCCAACACAGTAAAAAACCTGTAAGTTTCTTATGATTGAGATTCACACCCGACCACATTGTTACATTGTTCTTTTAGGATCCAGCAAACACGTAATCAATTTGCTGACGTGAGCAATACCACTCTGGCAGCAGAGACTTGGGAGGAGGGGTTGTTGCTAGGTAACCACCTTTTTGCCACCCAAAACACACAGCCTCCAACAAGTTCCTGTCCTGGGAAACAGTCTGTTCTGTACAAGTGACAGTGTTTACTTCAAAATGATTCTTTGACTGCTGAAATAATTCAGTGTTTACCCTACTTTATTTTTTATTCTGATTGCAAATGTTTATATATATTGAGAAACAATGAGCAGAACACTTGAATTCAATTTGAATTTAAGGAGAATTCAGTTGAATTGATGACTCGTGATATGATTGTTTTCCTCCACTTTTCTCATTTTGTTTACTTTAATATATAGTTTGATTTGTAGTTTATATATTTTATTAGTTATATATTTTAACTTATATGGTCTTTATTCCCTCAAAAATATTGGCGGATGTATTTAGAACTTTCTGTTAGGCAAAAGAAAATTTAGAAAGGGTTTGAAAATGTTGTAATGAGCTTCAGTATTCTTTATCAATGCCTAGCTTAGTAATACAAAGGCATTTTACTGGAATGTGGGTGGAGTAGAATAAAGTATCTAATAATGGATAATGGATAATTGTTTTAATGTTCCATATCATTCTATTAAGAATGCTGGCTCTAGTATTAATGGAGTTGATTTGTATTACAAGCACACCCAAGTCAAAATCCTGCAAGACAAATGCTTTCACAATTGGTACTACAGAAATCCCTTCCCTATGCATCGTTTGACATTTGATTTTCTTCAACATACTCAGCATTTACTATGTGCCAATATAAATTAGGCTTTAATGGCTCTTGAGTAAAAAATATAAATAAATCATTAAGCCAAATCTAAAAAGGCTATGGTCTTCCTTCCTTACCTTTTTTCTTTCTTTTAACACATACTTACTAAATATGTACTATCTCCTAGATTTTTGGTAAATAGGAGAAATCAACTGGCCAAGATGACAAAAATGAGCCTTACTCTCATGGAGCTTAAAGACTACAGAGGAAATGGGCAGCCCTTTTCTTAAAACTAGGGTGGGGGTGTGGCGCTTAATAGGTCATAATTACTCTCGTATTTCTTTTACCTGGTAATTTCTACGAAGCACTAACTCACAGCTATCACCCTCTGTCCTTATGGCCCTTTTCTTCACAACTGTAGATTTGTTGTGGATGGCAGAAAGGCTGACCTCCAGACCAGCTGCATTGAATAATGACCCCCTGCCCGGACGCTGACCAATCAGTGGAGACCTAAACCCTGAAAGGACACACCTGGAAAGCTGCTGAATATTCTACTGAGATCCTCCCTTATGACATCCCTTAAAATCTTCACCTTTAAAACCTTAGCACAGAAGACTCAGTGCGCTCTCCCTACCTAGGATCTGAAAGCACACCCGTGCCTTTCCCTTCACGTTCCCCCA